AGTCAGAATGCTGCATAGCACAATAAGAAGCTTATTAGAACATTTCTTAAATGGCACGTCCAACCTGATTGTCTCCGAAATAATAAACATTTGAGCACTAAATTTTCGGTTAGACAGCATCATCAACAACAACATCAACAACAACACCATCATCAACAACATCAGCAACAACATCAACAACAACATCAACAACAACATCAACAACAACACCATCATCAACAACATCAGCAACAACACCATCATCAACAACATCAACAACAACAACAACAACAACATCAACTACAACATCAACAACATCAGCAACACTATCAACAACAACATCAACAATAACACCATCAACAACAACACTATCAACAACAACATCAGCAACAAGATCATCATCGGCATAAACGTCAGCAACATAACGCAACATCAAAATCAACGGCACTAAACCTCAGCAACACATTAAAAAACATTAACGGCAACATTAACAGGCTGCAACAACACTATCAAATGATGAAAACATCAACAAACGATAACAACAAAAACAACATTAACAAACAACAACATCAACATATATCAACAACAAGATCAATAAACATCAACAACAACGTCAATAAACATCAAAATCCTATTAATAAGCGTCAACAACAACATTAATGAATAACAACAACAACATTAACATATATCAACAATTACATTATGAAATATCCAGTACAACAACAACAACAACAACAACAACAACAAAACAAGAAACAAACAACAACAGAAACGATTTTGCAGTAATAATGATTTATTTGTCGTTATTCATCGCCAGACAATGATGATGTCTGTGACCCTGACGACGATGATGACGAAAATGATGACGACGATGATGATGACGACGAGGATGACGATGATGATGATGATGACGATGATGATGATACCTAAATGAGTTTTTTTTCTTATTGCTTGTTTGTCAGTTTACCATTTATCATATATGGAATCATGTTTTTAAAAATTGTGTGTTGTTGAAGAGGAACTGAGAACAGTGAATGGAAGTGTTACAACGTGTTGCTGGGTCGGAAGAAGAGATTTCATCTTTTTTTACAGGCAGCATTCTCATCATAACGCAACTTTCCTATTCAAGGGCGACTTATGGAAGACTATCAAATATTTTTGGCTGTCGAAACAAATTCACCGGATGCAAATATTTCAGTGGAAGATGTGTGGTGACAATCACGAACTATATTCTACAGTAGAGAGGAAGTTTACAAATTATTTTCATCTTATATGATCATTTGTTTTGCCATCATTCTACTTATTTTTCTGTTTTTGATCCATGCAGTTAATGGGTTTGTTTTTGTTTGAATGCTGAGAATGTTTGGGCTCATCATTACTCGCAAACTTGGACAACTTCAAACACGTTCGTATACATTTTAATGAGAATCCCATGAAGAATTGAGATGAAATGTGTGCGCGTGTGTGCGTGCTAGAGCGTGTGTGTGATTAAGTTCTGCAGTCTTACAAAATATTTTAGTCGTCGCTGTATGGAGATCGTTGCAATTCTCATTAAAAACGTTGATGAAATTATAAAAGTTTAACTAACTGCATGCTTACATTTCAAAAACAACCACCACATCCCTTCTTTCCAGACATCTTGAATTCATTTCGAAAGCAGCAAATGAATAAATCATTGAAAGTAAGACAGCCCGCATTTTTGTCGTGAAATGTTATTCGGCGTTGTCAAACCTTAGAAGGAAGAATCAAATTTTGGTGATGCAAAAACTTTTGAGATTATTTCAAATTGTTTTGCGAATAAATATTGCATTCAATTTCGATCTCTGAGAAAAAATTTTTTCAACTTATAGATTTTGTTCATCCAGTGTGGAATGTTTTATACGCTCTCTACTGTGCGATTCCTTTGGACTTCATGCAGCGCGTGAATAACTTGAATTTTTTTGATCTGCTTATGACTTCAGCCAGCTTACGACAAAAGGTAATCTTTCTGGAGAGTCTGAAATAATAATTTAACGGTTCCATGAAGCTCTCACGCTATGCCATCTAATTTTTTATCACGTTACCTCAAAAAGTGAAGGAGTGAAATTGTTGATGTCGTGGCTGTTGTCCGCAACATTCTCATCAACATGACGTCCTTTAATCTGAATTATTGTTATTCATCAAAAGAAATGTCTGAACAATCCAAGTTTCTGTTTGCAACGAGGCAACAAATTCCGATTAATTAGAAAATTTTTTCATCCGTTTTCTTTCCTTCTATGATAGAAAAATTTTGTATAAAAATTTTCAAGCTTTTTTTTCACGTAAAATGCCAATGAGCTTCATAAATCTTCTTTATAAAAAGCATCCTTTTAGTCTTGCCGCCATAAATATGCACACACACACACACACACACACACACACATTGGCGCACTCATAGACACGTGCATAACTTTACTTACTTCTATATCAATGTGCGCGTGTGTGTGTGCGTGCGTTATACATGTATATGTATATATATCGGTTCGTATGATCGATTTATACGTTCACAGATATATTTTAATCCAAACATTAGTTTGTTGGCCATCTCCATGCGTGTTGTCGTGTGGCTGGCGTGTTTTGTTGCGAGGTACGTGCATTCCCATCTTCGTGACTGTGCGTGCAGTCGAAGCAGGTACGCACGTGGGTGCGCGCGAGGTGGAGAGCCAGCTAATCCATCAAAGATCAACAAAGCTTAGTGCTTTTGCATGTATGAATTTGAAGTTGTTGTTTTGTGTCGTCTGCTGTAGTTGCTTGTGTCGCACGTTGCTGTTGTTTGTGTTGCGTGATGTTGTTATTACTTCATCGTTGTGAGGAAGAAATGTTGTTATTGTTTGTGTTGCATGGTATCGTTGTTATTGTTCGTTGTTGTTGCTGTTTGTGTGACATGAAGTCGTTGCTTCACGCATGCTTTTCCTCCTGATGTCGTTGTTTCAAAGGTTGTTTTTTATTTTGGTTGTTGTTTGATATGTTTTTTGTTGTAAATATTTTTTATGATGCCGTTGTGTTTGCCTTTTTGTTGTTTCATACTCTGTAGTTGTTTTGTTACTGTTTTTATGTTGTTGTTGATATTTGTTGTTGTTGATGATGCTGACTTAAAGTTGATATCGTCGTTGTTGTTGGTTTTGTTGGTGTTGTTGTTCCGACTTTAAGAAATAGATTGCAGTGAATGTGAAATTGCGACGTCAAAGATGACGATGACGTCACGGGAGTGATGATGATGATTAGACATTGAGTAATGATAACATTATAATGATGATGGCGATGATTTTGGTCGTAGTGAGTGATGATGATGATGACGGTGGTGATGATGATGAAGATGACATTGATGATGATGAAGATATGGATACCGAACGATGATACGATAAAACTCATATGATATTGTTGTAGGTTATGGCTGTAGTGATGACGAGCGTGGTTTTTAGTGCTCTGCCAGCAGTGAAACAACCACAGGCACGTTAATGATGGCAAAAACTATTTATAATGAAGGTTTATTTCGGCTCTGAATTTAATTAAAGTTTGTTTTCATGACGTCATTTGCTACGACGGTGATGATGATGAGGATGAAGAAGATTTGTTTTCTTAAAAAACATTTTACAAAAAATTTTATAACGTCATTAAAAAGCAGCTTGTTATTTTGGATGAAACATAATTGCATACCATACCGAGAAACGCCCACTACCATGATGACAGAACAAAAATTTGGCAGAGTGTGGAAGCTTTCCACAATGTAAATTATTATGAAACCTATACATTCCGACTTATTGGTATCATAACTTCTTTGTATCATGAATTTTTGTATCATAAGATATTTGTTTCATAACATATTTGCATCGTAAATTCTTTGTATCATGAATTTTTTATATCATAACTTTTCTGTGGTATGAATTTTCTACATCAAAAATATTTTGCATCACAACGTGTTTGTATCATAAAATTTTCATGTTTGTATCATATCATGTTTATATCATAACGTGTTAGCATCTTTACTTAATATTTTAATGTTAACTACATGAAAGTTGCATGGTAAGAAGTTGCATAGTAGGAAGTTGCATCAATGAATGTTTCACTTAAAATGTAAAAAATTTTAAATTCACAACTTAATCACGCTTGTTCTGTGTCAAGTGTCTTCCGTGATTTGTTTAATTTGTTTTAATTGTCTTGTTTATTGCAATTATTCAAATTTATTTTCAAAATTTTTAGAAATTGTTCTCATTCGTCTTTGAGTTTTACAGAACTTTAATGCACGTTGTATAGTCTCTAGTATATTTGACGAACGATATCTGCATAAAAAAATTCAATAATCATTAAAACTTTACAAGTTATTGATGTTATGGAATCCACAGTAAATTATAATTAATTGTCATCAATTTTTTTTATTTATTTTTGTTCTAGTTTATATTTTTCATTTCGCTCAAGATTTTCAAAAATTTTTGTCCGCGTTCCCTTTTTTGACGACGAATGTTCACTGCTTCTTCTCCGTATTATCCATTTTCGTTAGCAGAAGGCACTCAATCGATTGCTCGAACCAACATGTCGACCGAATCCCGATAAAATCGAATTGCATTTTAATATTGAAATATTGATAGTAAATCAGTCGAATCAATAAACAGTTCATTATGAATTATTTACAGTGACATTTAAATAAAAAATAACCTGCAGTTCTCTGCTGGCCCGTGCAAACGAATGGCTGGTTTCGCACCCGCACCTGAAAGTGAAGACTTGCGAGAGCATCGAGGTGAAAGGTCGGTACGACGGGGTGGTTGACACCTGCAAGAGCTGCTACTTTGAGGCCGACCACAGCAAGAGGAGGATGAGGAATCTCTACATCAGAGCTTTAAGGTCGGTTGGTTGTCTCTCTAGGTGTATGAATGTGTTGGTTTGGTGTATGTGAGCGTGTTTAAATTAATAATTTTTGTTGAAGTTGAATACATTCCGCTAAAAATTATGATTGAGGTTCAAATTAAACGTTTATTTATATTTTACTGATACATTTGTAAAAATTGTAAATGTTCAATTGAAAATAAAATTATTTAGTACAACTTTTTCGTACAAATTTATTTACAAATTTTATTTAATAGAAAACTCCTAATTAGTTCTTATACTTCGGATGCCACATAAATTCTTTAAAAAAGTCCAAATTAAATATACGATTAAAACACTCGTTAGTTCGGCAACAATAAAAAAAACTGTCTTACTTTCGAATGTGTTTCATTAAACACGATGTCTTTCAAATTTATGGAACGTTAAGAATTTTTAATGAACTTTTATATGTGCTTTCTGGTGAGAATGAAGTGGTTTAAATTCTCGGAAGTTTCATGTTTTCTTTAAAGGAAAAGATTAATTTATGACGCCACCCATGTTTAAAGTCAGTTTTTATGTTCAGATTTTTTATATAATTTTTTTAAGTTTAATTTTTTTTTGAAAGATAATAAATTTGAAATAACTTTAAAACTGTTCCTGAAATCATTGTCGAATAAAATGGTAAAATTCGTGCTTAATCCCCAACCTTTAATACATCTCAACCAAATTGTGCCGATAGTTAGTAAAGTCATCTGAAAACCTTTTATTTCGTCCTTGAAGTTTTTGAATGTACATCCTTCGAAATTCTTATGAAATCTTTTCTATTCGATAAATACCTTTCTAAAATTTTTCCATTGTAGTTCCAGTTTATTAGTGGCAAGGTGGAGAGTAGTGTATGTACGTGGTGTGGTGTGTTGTGGCGTAAGAGGTGTGGTGGGGTGTGTGGTGGTGTTGTGGTGTGGTGTGTGGTGGTGTTGTGGTGTGGTGTGGCGTGGTGTGGTGTGGCGTGGGGGGTGTGGCGTGGTGTGGTGTGGTAGGGTAGGGTTGTAAGCACACCGTTAGCAGTCAAGTCTTCAATGAAATATATATATATATATATATATATATATATATATATATATATATATATATATATGCAAACATATAACACACAATATATTTATATATTTTTATACATATAACACACACACACGCGCACACTTATACATATATATATATATATGTGTGTATATATATATAATTATTATAAGCAATTTAATGCATACGTATAAAGCGCTTTATAAAAACATCTCCGTAAAAGAAGATATTTTTCACCTTTAAAGAAATTCCTCTTTAAAACATATTTTGAAAATTTTAATGAATACTTGCTTGCTCGTTTGTTTGAACATGTTCACAGGAGGATGTTGTAACTGACTGGACCGGTAACATGACATGGCAACATAACATTACATAAGATAACGTGACATAACAAGTTTAATGTGAGCTTAGATAAAAACCCATTTTCTTATATTTAAGATAATTAAAAACAAATGTACCCATTGACTTAAACTAAAAAATTCTAATGAGAATTCAAGAAAAGAATGGAATTATTGTTAATTGATTGACATGATACTTCATTGTTGTTATCATTGTGGTCGTTGCTACATTAAAGGTTAAAAGGTTAAAGATTACTCTCTCTCTTTTTCGTTTGCTTCAGAGGTTTCAACGACAAACACACACAGCGTATATGAATACGCGTGAAAACCATGCATCATACACGTCGCATATGATAGGCGGGGATCTCTTTGTATTCGAAGCCAGTCATTGCAATAGCAAGACCAGGCGCCTTTAACCATTGATCCATTACTTTTATTATTATTGCCATTGTTGTCATTATTTGAGTATAGAATTTATTCCAAGTGAAAACAATTTCGGTGATTAATCCAAGATGTAATAAAACGTTCACCCCACAGCAATCACAACTAAAAGTTGTTTAGACAAAAGCTTTAACTTTTTCTATTGCAATTAAAAAAAATCCAATTAGAACATCAGCGTACAACACAGCAATATATAACATTCAAACCACTTTGAAACAATCACAACAACATAAAATAACAGCAATATTATCTGAACTGAGAACAAAAAAAAATAAGAAAAAATGTCGAATGTCAGAAGAATTTAACTGTGATGGTGTTCTCACGTAGGTCTAACCGCGTGTAGCTGCGCAAAGGTCAAACACCTCCACACTTCATCGCCATGCAAACTCCCATCTATTCTTACTGCGGAGTTTTTACGTGCGATGTTTTACATTTGCTGGTCGAAACCATGGCAGTTTGTGAATTTTTCGTGGCCAATTAGATTATTGGGTCTCTTAAGTTTTGCCAAAAAATTCATCATAGATAGGGATAAACGCAGATAGATGAAATTCATCATAAAATAGTGAATATTGAAACGGGAAAAAACCGAATCAAGCAAAATACCAAACAAGAAAGTGACACTAAATTTGGAAATAAAAAAAATAGTCAAATAACCTTCCGTGTCTGATACGCAAATCAGTTTCGATAAAATAAAAAAAAATAAAAAAAAAAGATCATATATATATATATAAATATATATATATATATATATATATATATATATATATATACTATACATATACATGTATATGTATGTATACAAAAATCACGGACATATTATGTGAGATTTCGGCATTTTCATGTCATCAACAATGCCAGACTGACAAAACAACAGCGCGTAAATCATTATGACACCCCAAATCATCTTCAATATCGGCTAAAACATGAATATAGTTTTTCATAAATATCTCTTAACATCAAATGTTTAATGTTTCGACTCTATGCTCACTCAAAACTAAAACCCACGCATCATATATACGCACCAATGTTTGCTCCGTATTGAACTCTACAGAAGTAACATCTGAACCAGAACAACGAGCGAAAACCGAGAAAGACATGCAACTCCTCTTGACGGAACTAACTTAATTTTTTATTCATTTATGAGACATGTAAATTTAAAAAAAAGAACACATTTTCATGACAACCATGCTGACTTGCAGGTTGTGGATCGTGCCGAAGACATCTGGCGACCCGACCCGACCACAGCAGATCGGCTACGTCAACGTCGTGCCAGCCAGGAACGATATTGGAAACTTTGACACGTTCGGAGAGGCCATTCAGAAATTCAACAAACATTTGAAGACCCATGCTCTGCCAGGTAGCTTTACATTTTTCAATTATATAGATTGCGGTTAAGAAATTCAAAAGAGTTGATTAATTGATAATAATCAACTTTTGTGATAAATCATTCTTTTCTGATAAATATCATTATAAGTATAAATCAATCTTTTGTGATAAACAATAAAACATGAAATTTAAGAACTGACTCAATATTGAATATTTAACAAATTTGTAGCAGATTGCATGTTTGATCTGAACACTGTTTATAATTTTGATACAAATTTCTGTTTTTAAAATTGTTGTTTTAGATGTTTAAAAATACGGATGATCAAGAGTTTTTACTTGACATAGTGAATAAAGAAATATATTATATTAGATTTTCAAACTGCATCGCCATTGTGATCAAGTTTGTGCAGTTTAGAAGAAAATGTAGATCTATGACTTACAGAGCAAACCAAAAAAAATGATCGTGTTATGTATCACATAATGTCATATATCACATGATTCTGTATTTTAGGTTCGCCTACCAGATATGTGCCATACAATGCAAGGCACGCACGTGCATGCAAAATGTTGTTCCTGACATAATTCTGTTTAACGACAATTGCACAATTTTTTTAGAATCCAGAAAATAAATAAGTCCAACAGACAAAAATGATTGATCAAATTTTCCTCAAAATTTCAGTTTTCTCAAAGCTTTTTAAATTGTTAATATAATTTCAATTAATATTTTCTGTAACAATGAATTAATATTCCGATTAGTGTTTTCATTAACGTTCCGTTCCAATTAACATTCCTGTTAATATTCCGTTAATGTTTTCACATTTGAAATTCTAGATAATTTTGAGGACATTTTTTAAAACGTTCATGAAATGTTGACTGATGTAAATATTCCCTATGAATACGTGTGCAAATTGGAGGACGGGTACCTGTAATAAGAAGGACATGCCCTCAAGGTTGAACAGTGGTACGCCAGTTGATCTTATTTTTCTTACAAAATGTTCTCATATTTTTTGTTTTCTATCTGCTTATCTGCTGAATTAATAACGTTTGCTAAATAAAATTTTCGTTTTAATAACTCGTTAGACTCGTTTTTTAATAACACGTTTGTATCACAAATTGAAAAAAATTGAAAATATTTGTAAAATGTTCAAGAGCTTTGAAGACCTTTTCAGAAAATTATAAAAAAATAATCAAACATTGGATATCATAAATAATTCACAAAAATAGGAATTAATAATTATAAACTAATAATATTTTTACTATAAAAGTTGCCTTGTGGTGATTGCTAGAAGGATCTGCTTCAGAATTGTAGAGACTTTAAATTTCATTTCAATATGAAAGTAATTAAAAATGGAAGTTTCTATAGAATAAAGAGAATTTCTTCAGTGCTTAATGTTGTAAGGGTGGGTAGTAAGGTTTTTCGTTGAGAAGTGTAAAAACTATCAACTGAATTTTTTAATTATTTAACGAACTTGAGATTAAAAAACGTTGTTTTTTAGCCAGTGCAGCAGGAACGAACCGGCCAACTTTTCAATTAGCATTAAAAATTATTACCTTCATTAATTTCATTAATTATTTGGTTATTCATAACATTTCTATTTGCCTTTCTTTATCAAACAATTGTCGAATTGGTTTAGGTGCGTTTGAATGAACATTCTGAAAGTTTTTAGTATCTTATTAAATTTTTTGAAACTTACATTTCTTTTAAAAATTGAAGATATTGTAGATGTATTTGAAACGGTTATTTAATTTATTAAAAACCACAGAGATTTAAATAAAAACAAAACTTTTCATCGTCAAATCACTTGCGCCTTACCGCTGAAAATTCTAACAAAAAAGCAAAAAATAAATAATTTATAAAATGATTGATAATGTTTCGTATTTAGAATTTTAATTAACGAAAAAGTTTTAAATATTTGGAAGCAATCTCATAGGAACACATTCAATCATTTGCATCCTGACGACGAAACAATGGCTGCAACAAGAGCACCAATCCATTCATCATCAATCGCCAGCCTGTTCGTCTGTCAGACATTGAAAAGTTTAACAAGTTTAATCCAATATTTATCCAATGCTTATCTCCATCAAAGATTCATCAAGAATTATTCAACTTTCCATTCATTGTACTTTTTATTTCAATTAATATTTAATCACTATTGAATTTTGAGAAAATTATTTGATAATAAATAACATTAAAAATACTTTAAACTAATTTTTCCAAAATTAATGAAAACCAAAAAGCTGATGAATTATTCGAAGTTGGGTACGGAAGTTGCACGAATTCATAATTTTGCTCGCACACCTCTTTAACTAAATGGTGCACGAATATTCCAGGAAGCACGTTAAAGAGTTTATAAAAACTAATGTAGCTAAATTTTTTTAATATCTCATAACATTTTGAAGATAAGTGAAGGTTGGCAGTCGCATCTTGCAGCGGCTGTTGAATAATTGGATGAGGATCATTTAAGAACGACATGCAACTTTTTTAGCATTTATGCATGTTTCAACTTCAAACAAACTATAAAAACATACAAAAATATTTCTCTGAGTTAATGACCGATTTGGCAAATGTTTTCGATTTTTTGTAATTTTTAAAGTTATTTTTTTACAACTCTGATAGATCGGGCTTTACAAGATTTCATGGTAATTTGAATGTGTTTCGACCTCTTCTTCATATTAACTACTGAGATTGTTAGGAGAAGAAATTATTTTCCCTCATTTTTTCAATAAATTGTATTTAGTTCTTATTTAAAAATTTAAAATACCCTTTCCCTTCACATCATTTCCAAAACATTTTCATTCCCACTGGCGTTTAAATATTTTAAAATTTTGAAAAAACTGTGAATAGAGAACAACACTTTTTCAAATAAAGAGCTAAAATAAAGAGCTAAAAAAATTGTAGAAAGAGGAGAGTGGAGTTTATTAGGCACGTCTGGCACGTACGTTCCTCCCTTTACACTGGATAACTTCGCTGCTGTCAGAATCGCACTGACGAGAACATGACATAAATTCCTAAGTGCCTGTCACTTCGCCTTTATGTATTTGTTAATTTGTCTTTATATGTGCTCCAATATGTGCACGTATGTTCGTTCGTTCGTTCGTTTGTTCGTTCGTTTGTTTGTTTGTTGTTTGCACATGTGTTTCAAAGCGTAAACAACTTAAAACAAGCAATGATGAATTCAACGAAATGGAATAAATTTTAATCCACGATTAATTTTAGTTTGAAGGAACCTTCGTGATATGAATGAATTATAAAATGTACCTTTTAAGAATTCCGTCGGTCATTTTATCGGATGCAGAAAATTTGTTTGTTAAAAATTTTCCAGTAAAATCTATCGGTATTCAACGTTTGTACGCCGATGTTTTCAATTTCAAATTACATCCTTCCTTACTTTTTCATTGAATTTATTAAAGACTGTATTTGCGTCAAACATGGCAACACAAATGGTCATGACAACCTTATAGTTGCAACAACCACACCTGCTTGTTCACCAACACTTGTTTGCCCACCCCACCTGTTTGCCCCCCACACTAGTTCGTCCACCTACACTTGAGTCTGTTCGTTTGGAGTTCCGAAAAACAAACAGAATGAAATTTGCTGATACGTCACTTAGGAGGCTGACTTACAATTCTTACTTAATTGGGCTAAAAGCCAACATGACATTTCCCATTATTGCAACATAAACATCGTCATCACGTGATCCTCCTTGCAGTAATTATCATCATCATCGCTATGGTCATTAACGTTTTGTTCAGAAATTTGTTTGCACTGTCTTTATCGTCATCATCATCATCATCATCTTTCCAATTATCACCACCATCACCTACACCATCATCATCATCATCTTCATCGTCATCTTCATCATCGTCGCCATGCTCATTTACACTTTGTTCAAAATTTATATATTAAATTAATAAAACTAAATGGCAGAAGATAATATTTGGACCTGTTCAGTGTTTAAATTTTAAGGAAGCGTCATCATTATTTCCAACCATCATCACCATCATCATCACCATCACCACCATCATCACCACCACCACCATCATCACCATCACCACCATCATCACCACCACCACCATCATCACCACCACCACCATCATCACCATCACCACCATCATCACCACCACCAACACATTCGAACTTCATCAGAGTCACCATCAAACCCCACCAAACATTGCACAAAGACTCGGTGATAAGTTCATTGCTTCGAAGCCGATGTTTCATTTCTGCCAGCGATGCAACTGAATTTATCGGCCAAATGAATCTCATTACATACTTCCACAGCCGGGAAAATGTTCCAACGACAATCCCAACAATGGTTTCTCCATCTCCAACAACATCTACACGTGCTGATTGTGATGATGATGATGATGATGCTCTTGACGACGACGACGATGATGAGGATGATGATGATGATGAGAATGATGATGATGATGATAGGGTTGTTGTGATGATGATGATTATGGCGATGATGTTGATGATGATGATATTTATTATTATTATAATTATTATTATTATTGTTATTATTATTATAAGAATGTTGATTATGACGGTTATAGATAGTTATAGCAATGCCATCATCACATCATCACATCATCACAGTTCATCATTAGTCGCACCTCAACTTGCAAGACTAACTTTACACTTCTCAAAAGTTTCAATTAAAATACAATTTTTATTACTTAACATTTTCCAATTTTTTAAAAATATCGTTATCACAAATTATTTTCATGACCATCATCATCATCATCATCATTATTATTATTATTATTATTATTATTATTATTATTATTATTATTATTACTTTTATTATTTATATTATCATTAGCGTTGGTGTTGTTGCAGTTGTTGTTTATGTTTTTGCATTGTGGTGTGGTTATTATTATTACTATTATTATTACTACTATTATTACTATTATTAATATTATTATTACTATTATTAATCAAGTATTTTATATCATCACTCGATGAAGTTATCTCCTACCCTACCACCATTGAACACCTGCATGAGACCTCACTTGCAATCGAACCAAACTAACCGCCGATAAATAAGTCCAATCTGCTGACACTGCTGAGTTTAACAAAAATCAGTAAAGAGTGATGTAACTAATAAAATTAGAAATCATCGTTCAGCATTGCCACCACCATCACCACCATCATCGTCCTCACCCCCCATCATCGTTTTTACTATCATAAATCAGCACGAACATCTACCTTCATCATCTTGTTTTGGAGCCGTCAACCTAATTTATTTCGTCATTTTCAGCATCATCACCATCCTCATCATCATCTCCATCCTCATCATCATCACCATTCTCATCATCATCACCATCATAGTGATCCTCATCATCGTCATCGTCATGATACAGGACAGCTTTGCATGATGACGTAGCCAACCGCAATATGCACCCACACAGCACCACAGAGTGCAAACCCACCCACTCA